TAAAGAAAAAAATTTTCATTTATTCCTTAAAGGGTATCAAATCACTATGATATTTATATTCTACTCTTATTCCATATTAAGCTTGTGTGATCATTTTATTTTTAAGTGACAATATTTCTAACATAACCCTGAAAATTATTCCCTTTACAGTTGTTTAATTTTATGAGAAAAAATTTGGATGTTGATATAAAAATGGAGAAGGGATACATATATTTTCCAAAACTCTTTTGAGAGTGTGTCAGCAAAAAAGTTTGAAGACCACTGATCTTGATTTTCCTATGTTTGAAACCACTGGAGTTACTCCTTTGTCTCTGGAAGGCCAAAGTTATACCACACATGACGATTAAGGGACCACAAATTAGTACCTCTGAACAACCATGTGGGTTAATTTTGGATTAACTGGCTTTTACTTGGGAAAGCAGAAACTTTTAAGCTCCATAAGAATGGGTGCCAGGTAAACAGGTAAATTTAGATGTTCGTAAGGTAGATCCAGTGTATTACATCAAGAATTCGCAGGGCCACTGTAACAAGTGTAAACAAGGACCAGATCAAATTCGCTATAGGCTAACCTGCTTGGATCCATCTTGGGGCTCATACAGGTAGATTTAAAGCCAAAAGCACAAGTCCAATATGAGGGCTCATCAAACCAACTTAAAATGAGGTTCCCAGCCTGGACCCTGGGGGTTTCTTGAGGCCCAGTTTCCTTTCGCGCTCCTGAGACATGCGATGACAAGGTAACTACCCAAGTTTGAAATGAAAATAATCTAAACTAATTTTCTCATTTCAAATAAAACAATATTAACTACATTTAATCTTTGACTCCAAATGAGAACTGAACAATCATTTCTTCTCATTTGATTGACAGTTTGTCCTTATTATCTGTTTATATCCCTTTACCATGAGAAATCCCAGACTCCCAGGTCACCCTTCATCTCCCACCCACTGACCCACTAAAGGCTCTTTATATCATGTATTTAGAACATTTTCCCCACCATTCCCCAGTTTCTGGTTCTTCCACTATATCCTCTGAAATTCAGAGTCCCTCTGCAGCAAACTTCCTGTATCCTCAATCTCTTCTCTGAATATTTCCTTCACTTTCTTGCTCTAAAGCAAACCTGGTTCATCCTCCATAAATGCTGTTGCCCCACCCCTATCCCAACCTTTACACCACTGGACTTGGAGGTGGAAGAGGGATCCTCCTTGCTCTTCATTGCTTCTTTCAGGCTATTCTCACTAATTCCTACCCCTTTCCAGTATTTGTTTTTTTAACTCATGTCTTCTGATGCTGTCCCTCTCTTCATCATGATAGTCACTTACTAACTCATAGATCACTGTTATTTCTCAAGGACTTTAGTCTTTGTCTACTGGGATCTTCTCTAGCACTTCTCTTATTCTAAGTCTTGCTGTTTTCAATATGAACATAAATAATCCTTATGACATTCTCACTTTGACTCTCTTCCAATGATACCATATTCCACACTCCTCAGCCATTCACCACCATTGTGCCATTCCATCCTAGACTTTATCACATCTTTATAATCTTAATTTCATGCATTCCACTCCAATTACCATATCATTGTTGTCAGTCTTGCAGAAGTGAGGTGAACTTCACCAAAAATTTGGTTTGGATGTCGAGACTGATGATACCACACATGTACCCAGACAGTATGAAAAGGTTTATTACTCATATAAAGAAGCTTTTTAGGAATAACAGAGCAGGCTCCATGCTGATATAAATATAGCTTGAGGAGGCAGAGAAAGATTGTCTTAGGTTTTTATGGTGGTTGAGGGTGGGGGTAGAACCAGGGTGAAGATTCCTTCATATGGGCTGGGTCTTGCACGGTTTGAACTTCCCACTGGTACTGAAAGAATGAGCACCTATGCTTTCTTATCAATGTTCCCAGGTATGGGGCACAGGAAAAGAGGAGTGGTGGGGCTTGAAAGCTGTCAACAAATATCAAAAATGGAGCCAGACTGTTTATTATACACTTCCTATCTTTCCAGATCGTTCCTTCTTGTTCTCTGACTCCTATAGTCCCTCAATCTTACAAGGATTTACAATTCATTGATCCTACCATCTTTTCTCTAACCTTAATCTCTCCATATTTACTCTTTCTCCATCTTAAACTCCATGTCGAATCATAATCACTCCCTTACTTACATCCTCAACTTCTTTGCTCCTCTCTCTTCACTCTTATTTCCTTGGTAAAACCTGATTAAATAGAACTCTAAGCCTGCTCTGACCCTGCACCTGGCAGCTGATTATTGCTAGAGAAAAAACACACAATCACACTGACTTGTTCTACTTAAATTCATGACCATGAACTCAAATGGGCCCTTTATTACACTCATCAAGCATGTGACATTTTTTTCCTCATCCATGCATCTTTCCATTCTTCTAGATGATTATTGCATACCTTAGCTTCTCTCCTCAAGCCTCCATTACTCTCCTACACTGTCTCTCCACTGATGACCTTACTTCCTATGTCTCTGAGAAAATCGAAATGATCAGAAGAGAACTTCCAGATTTGTACCACCATTCCTACCCACTTGTCAGCCTGTTTCCATAGATCAATAGTCAGTCTGTGCTCCTGTCTACATATTATTTTTTCACTTGGGTGCTAGATTTCAAATTCTCTTTCCTTCTCAAGGACACCTCTCCAACATTTCTCTCTTCTTGCTCCTAAATTTTTCCTTCTCTTCTAGATTATTCTCATCAAAAACAAATATTTCTTCCAAATTTTTTGTCAACCTACTTTTGACTCCACTTCCACCTCGGTCACTGTCCCATTTTTGGGCTCCCCTTTTCAGGAGAACTTCTCAAAAGAATTGCCTACAATGTTAGCGATCTCCAATTCTTCTCTCATTTTTCTTAAACCCACTCCAATCAAATTTTCACCTTGTCGCTCCACTGCTATGCTACCAATGGCCTCAATGGTACTAAATCTAATGGTCAATGTTCAGTTTTCACTCATATAGGAACATTCACTCCTCCTTGATATACTACCTTCACTTGGCTTCTAGATGCCTCACTCTTGTTTCTCCTATTTGACTGGCTATTCCTTCTCAGTCTCCTTTGCTGGCTCATTTCACTTCTCACACCTTGAAGGTACAGAGCTTCATCCTTGGTTCTTTTCATTTATACTCACTTTGTTGGTGATCTTGTTTAGTCTCCTGGCTTTAAATATCATCTAAATGCTGATATTGCTCGTATGTCTCTAGTCTGGACCACTCTCCTTAAACCCAGACTCAGATATACAACTGCCTACTCCAGATCTCCATGTGGATCTCTAATAGAGATCTCAAACGTAACATGTCGAAAACTTATCTTTCTCCTCAAGCCTACTCTACCTGTATTCTTCCTCATCTCCACTGATTTTTTTCATATTCCCTATCAGCTTTATGATCCTATTTGATTTCTGTAATTTTTAAAGCTGCTTCTTCAACTACTTCAAGCTGCAAATGTTTAAGAGAATAACATCTCCTCCCTCCCCCCTCAGAAACCACTGTAATTAAATCGGACTGTAGGTAGAGTAGGTTGCTGTCCCCAAAGCATTCAGATGTTCCTTTTCAAAGAGCACAAGGTCTAGGCTACAGGGAGGGGAAGATTGGCTCCTGTGAGTCAGGCTCTGATTGGGGCTTGGCCCTGGGATTGGGAAAAGGGAGGGGACAGACTTTGTAAGCATATGCCAGGTATCTGATAGTCCTATAGAATTCTGTGAAGAAACTTTATACAGTTTAAAATTTTTATATAAACTAACAGAGACCCAAGCTACAACGTTGGAATTTGGGTTGCTGGTTTTTCCTAAGTACTCCGCCTGTATTATTGAGAATTTCCCCCTTCTCCCTCACCATGTTTGTATTTTGTGTTGGTTTACACTTGCACATATTCAATTTTCAGTTATTCCCCTTTACAGTCTTCTCTCCTCACCTCCAGGACCCTCTCTCTTAAATCAATCAATCAATCAATCAATCGATCACTGACAAGTGTAAAGAAAAAATTTTTTAAATTTATTGCCTGTTGCCCCAACTCCCCAAATGTAATCTCTGCGAGGGCCAGGATTTTGGTTAACGTATATAACCCAATCAACTAAAACAATGTCTGGATGCTCAGTTAATTTTAGTTATTGAATGAATGAAAGAATGAATTAAACCAATAGGATCCATTCTTAGCTTCCTTAGAAATTACAGGTCTCTTAACCCAAAATGAAAATCAATGAAAAATGAGTTTATCTGCCAGCAATAAAATACCGCCCAGGTTTAAAACCTGTGTCTGTGAGTGGGTTAGAGGAGGGGCAGACAGGAGATTATCTCTTCAAAAACATAAAGCGGCAGAACAAGGCTTAGGTAAAAATTACACTGAGAATGTGTGATTGTTTGCTTCGGGGGAAACTAATTCTTAGAGCAATAGGCCGAATCAATTCTAAATGAGTTCTAAATGGCCACCTAAACTTTGCCGGCATCAAGTGAAAAAGTGGTATGTGAGCTAAAAAGCAGCAAAATCGCATCTTTCTCCATTCACTACAAGATATCCGTTATCAACAGCTGTTTTCTCACTAGGGTGACTCTCTTTTCCCTTACTTGGACTTGACTGTCAAAAGAACGATACCACACCCTGCGTTATGCAGCCGCAACCGAGTTGCATTGCCACGTCCCAGGTCTCCTGTCTACAGGACTGTATTAAATTCAATAATGTTTTTCTTTTCTTCTTTTGAATCAGGGTTCCTGGGTGGGGCCAGGAAAACCCTGAAGCTGTTTGAAAACGATACAAACTGAAAAGGTCAGAATTTTTAAAAAGTACATTTAAAAAACTGTTTAAGGCCCTTAGAGGCTAACTGAATTTGGGGGGCACGCTGAGTTCAACAAAGAAAAACCCTGTTCGCGTTGGCTTCGCCGCAGGCGCAGAGTCCAGTCCTCAGGGGACGAGCTCGTCCGCGTCTCGGGCGGCGGTAGACGCCCCCTCGCTGGGCCGCACCCGCCACCGTGCGCGAGGATGAGGCCGAGCCCCATGCGTCCCCTGAATTTCCATGCAACCCATCCAGATAAGTCCAGACTGAAGGAGCAGAGTCCAAAGTGAGCGTCAGTATCGTCTGGCGGGGTGGCGGGATGTGTGGCGGGCGCAGCTAGGGGAACAGGGAGCCGGAGGTTAGGTCCGCGAGGTCCGCGGCGGTCGGCGCCCAGACCCGCGCGGAACAAGCCCTCGCGGGGCTAGTCCCTCGCCGAGCTGGGCGTGCGACGCCCGGGCTTCCGCGGCGCCCCCTTGCTCCTCCGCACGCCTCCGCACGCCTCCCCTTTAAGCGCAAGGCGCAGTTGGATTTGTGTCGGCCGAGGCGAGGCGCGACTCCCCTTTATGGCGGAGCCGGCGGCAGCGGCTCTGACAGCCACGACGGCCGGCGAGCGGAGCAGGAGGCCCG